AGAGTCAAGGTCATTTCTTGTATCCTATTCCTCAGAAGTCGTGGGAGTATGAATCTTTTTATATTGACTTATTCCTCCCCATGGATCTCTACCACAGTCATGGTAATGTTGTTTCATAGAACAAATTTATTTGATAAGAAATGAAAACCACATTTAAGAAATCAACCAAATCCAGATGCTATTTGCCCCTGTAAGAAGTTAGTGCTCTGGAAGATAAATTCACTCTCTATCATAAAATACTTCTGTGTTTTTTTCTGTACTTTTGAAAACAGGAAAGAAAAGACTTTTCTTAATTATTAGTAATAGTAGTATAGGAAGTTTTGATATGCAGATAACAAAATGCATAGGGGAAGGTGGGGGAAGGAGCTTTCTGATTTATTTTCAGTTAGGAGGGTAAAATTTAAACCCTACCCCACTGAATCTCTAGGACAGTTGCACGCTTTTTAAAAACCCATATGTGCTGGGGTGGGGTATACATGGAAAGCACCCGCAGGTTCTGCTCCAATAGACTGTGAGACCTTGGGTCAATGTCTTTTCACCACTCTAGACTTTCGGCCCCTCAGAGGCATAATGGGAAGATTTTGTTACAGGTTGTCAGATGTTCTCCCTTCTAGCACTAACATCTATGATCTATGACAGTTAATTCCAATACCACCACATGATAATTTCCCATTTCATTAAAAGACTGCTCTGACTGGCTGATTCCCAAATAGGCCTTGTAGTTGATTATGCCAGGACTTATTTAAGCTTACCCTATTAAGGCTTCCTGATGCTACTGTTAAATGCCAGACAGTCTTGCACTTTCGGTCATGGTTTGTGGTGCCGAGCTCATCCCTGCCTCCTTCCCTCAACCTTACCTTCTCTGGCTGAGATGAGAAGAAAACAGAAACCGGCTTGCTAAGGGTAGGACCATTCCCAGCTTCTTAGCAGGACCCCAAACGTTTCTAAGCTTCTTGTAATGATGGATCCCTTTGAGGATGAGATGGAAGCTGTGACCAGTCCCCTCAGAGAAATAAACATGGTCTCAAATTTCTACATAAAATTGCAAGTTTTCACAGGCCTTCTGAGCCCCTCGCAGGCATCTCAGGCTAGAAACCCATCTCTAAAGTCTGGGTGGCCCAGTTTATCTCTGTGACAGCTCTAGTCCTCAGTTTTCACATATATAAAATGAGCAAATTCATCTAAAACCTCTTTTGGCTATAAAATGTGATAGTTCTGGGCTTCCCTGGTGGCGCAGTGATGAAGAATCCGCCTGCCAATGCAGGGGGCGTGGGTTCGAGCCCTGGTCCGGGAAGACCCCACATGCCGCAGAGCAACTTAAGCCTGTGCTCCACAACTACTGAGCCTGCGCTCTAGAGCCCACGAGCCACAACTACTGAAGCCTGCGTGCCTAGAGCCCGTGCTCTGCAACAAGAGAAGCCACCGCAATGAGAAGCCTGTGCACTGCAACGAAGAGTATCCCCTATTCGCCGCAACCAGAGAAAGCCCACACACAGCAACGAAGACCCAACGCAGCCAAAAATAAACAAAATAAAATACATTAATTTAAAAAAAAGAACGCTTTAAAAGAAAAAATGTGATCGTTCCTAGGCACAAAATTACTTCCAGAAAATATAAAGGAAGTTGCAAATGAGGCTCAAGTATTTCAGGAACTGCTACTCTGCCTTTTGGCCACTAAGTTCTTGATGAATATTTATTCAATTAAATTTTATTAAATAAATATCAATTAATTTTTTCCCAACCTTGCTGTTTATCTTGACTAGCTTTGAACATGCACTAGCGTAGAGATTTGAATTTCCAACTTCATATAGACATTCTATGACTTTGTATATATGAAGTCTAATGACTGCATGATTCTAACAAATTAATCAATTTATATCCATTTGACATAAAGTATTTTGGGGAGTATTAGGACAATCAGTAGCTGAAAATACGCAATGTGAATGTGGCAGCGTGATTAACGTTAACAATGTTTGCACTTCTTTTATTGCTAGCCTTTGCATCCCTTAATAGTCAAAATATTAAATCGATGGAAGATTTCTTATTTCATTTACCTTGTAATCTAAGCTGTTGTTATTCATGCTTTGCTTCATAGCTTAGTTTAATTTATCTGGCTTTTTGCCTTTATTTTCCTTACTTTTATCCCTTTTCTGATTCTGTTTTTCTGTAGCAGATGTCCTTACTGCTTCTCCTGTTCCTAACAGTCAGGAAGGTAAAGCCACTTGAACCTGACCTTGTAACTGCATGAATGTCAGGCATTCTGTTTCCATTTGCTTAGGCCTGATTAGCATGAAGTTGTGACCCTCATAAGAATAAAAATGTAATTAAATGATTGATCTCGTTTATTTCTTGGCAGCCTGCATGGCCCTGATTTGGTATAAGGATATTTTGGTCTAAGCATTTGTGATCTGATGAGATAGTAAAATCATGGGTGAGAAATGAGCTTTCTTGTTTTTCATTTTAAAAGAACATAATCATGTTATATCTCTAACACCTTTAAAATCATTTTGAATAGTAATACCAAAACAAGAGCAAAGTATAAGATTATCTGTCATACTTTGGAAATTTTTAGATATATTTTAATTCCTATCCTTAAGATTTTCCCTTAATAAATTGATAGACAGTTATGAAAAAATTACTTTCCAATTAAGCATAATTGTGAAAACTGCATTGCAAATAAGTGTCTTTTTCCCTCTGGTTTTGACATTTCTAGAGATAAAAAATGCTAATAGCCTCATTTTAAAGTGAGAGTGATTAAATCATGCCTGCACCGTCTAGAAGTGCTTCAACTACTAAATCCTTCCCAAACTTGTGTGCTGAGAGCTTCTTGACAGGGTATCTTCCATAATGTTTGCACAGTTCCAATCACCTGTATGAAAATGAGCTTTCTCATTTAGATTACATCTATATGGTACCAAAACTACTGGTAAATTAGTCTATTCAATCAAAAATAAATGTATCATTTAACAAATTTTTAAAATTATACTTCAAGCCATCATTTTGGTAACATGTAGCCAGTGCCTCAGTCTTACATTTCAGATAAGCACAAGTACCTGGATATCCTTGCAATGATGTAGCCATAGCCCTTAAGTGAAGCATTCAGTTCTTATTTGCTGAAGCCTGCCAACTCATTTTCAGACAACATTCTAGAAGACAGACCTGAAAATAAATCATGTAATGACAAACTTCAGTTTGAGTATAATGAAGAAATCCCCAAGAGAATAAAGAAAGCAGATAACTCTGCTTGCAACAAAGGAAAGGTGGGTGAATGGTTTCTGTTAAATTACACTTGGACCGTCAGTTTCAGATAGGATTTCACTCCCTCCCTATCCTTTCCCTTCACCTCTCCGCTCACTTTCCCTTAGACGCCAAAGTCCACATGGTGATGATATGGGACCCCCATCTGCAATTTATAGGTTAGTCATGGATTCGTCCAGCCAATACCTACTGAAGATGTAGTGTGTGGCAGGCACTGAGATAGTGCAGGAGGTGATTTGGCCATGGAGACAAACATGTAAACAGTGCTTGTAGATAAGTACAAAGAACAGTGATTACACAGTGTTATCAGAGCATGATGATGTTGAGAAGCAGACAGAAACAGAGCATTCAGACCAGGAGGCTGGTACGTTCAAGGAATTGCTAGAAGTTTTAAAGGTGTTTGGGATGACCAGGAAGATAAACAGGGCTGATTGGGAAGTGTTAACAGAGGAAGGACAACAAGAATAGAGACAAAAATGAGATACCCGGACCCAACGCTCAAGTGCCTCACAGTGTATAGACTCTGAGCAAATCTATAGTGACATTGTTGGACAACAAAATAATAAAATACGCCAAAAATTTGAGCCATAGAAGATACATACTCCACTATCTGTTCATTCAACAACTATGCATTGAGTGTTCCACATTTAAGACGCTGGACTGTGCTCCGAGGGAAGATGAAGAATGAGTTAGACTCAGCCCTTGCTCTCAGAAAGCTTTTCTCTAGGGAAGGTGTTAGGACATGTATATGGATAAGATAGAGCAAGTGAAAGACAGTGATGGCATGAGAAAGGAACAAAGAGCTTTAGGGATTCCAAGGTGAGTGGCATATACCTTCCCTGTAAACCAGTATCATTTTTCCCTTGATAGGTTTATGACATGGAACTGGGAGAAGAATTTTATCTTCCTCAGAATAAAAAGGAAAGCAGACAGATTGCACCAGAGCTTTCTGACCTTGTCATCTATTGCCAAGCAGTAAAGTTTCCAGGTAAGAATAGACAGTATTAAATGAACTTATTTACAAACAGAAAGACTCACTGACTTAGAGAATGAACTTGTGGTTGCCGGGAGTGGGGGGATAGTTAGGGAGTTTGGGATTTACATCTACACACTGTATTTAAAATGGATAACCAGCAGGGACCTAATGTATAGCACAGGGAACTCTGCTCAATATTATGTAACAACTTAAATGGAAAAATAATTTGAAAAAGAATAGATACATGTATGTGTATAACTGAATCACTTTGCTGTACACCTGAAACTAACACAATGTTGTTAATCAAGTACTCCAATATAAAATAAAAGGTAAAAAAAAAAAAGAATAGACAGTATCATTTACAACATTTAAAGATACCAAAAGATTAAAATATGCTATTTATTTAATTGGGCATTGTGAATGCTCTCCAAATAACTAAATTGTGTTGCTGAAATCATTGTTACAGTATCTAATAAATATTTATTATTATTATTATTTGCTTTGATGCTGATGAGGAAAATACCATAAAATATTCATTTTTCAGATCATATCATGTCTCTCCATTATAGTTAATAATATTCATAACATCTAATAGCTATAATTTATTAAGCACTTAATACCAGGATTTATGCTACGTATTTTATGTACATCATCTTAAATGACTCCATAATAATTCTATGAGTAGGTGGATTTATCTCCATTTCTAAATAACAGTCTGAGAGAGATGAAATAATTGGCCCAAGGTTTCAGAGCATATCAGTTAAGACTCTTTTGTTTGAAAGTGGCAGAAGTTACTTCAGCAAAGAAGAAATTTATTGGCTTATGTGTTGAAAAGTGAAGGGATATATGAGTTTCAGGTACAGCTTGGTCCAGGGCTTTCTCTCTCCATATTTCTCACTCTGCTGCTACTATGTCGGCTCTTTTGTCTTTGCGGTTGCAAGGCAGCTGCAGCAAGGCTAACACTGCATACTTCTAGATTCAGCTTCAGTATGGGTCTCTTCCAGAACTTTCAGCAGCAGTTTCATGGTTTTTCACTGGATCCTTTGCCCATCCCTGAACCAGTCACTGTGGCCAAGAACATGCAGTGCTCCGGCTGTCTAGGGCTTAGGTCACGTGCCCCATCCCTGAGCTGGGTAGTGAGTCTCCACCCAAACTGCAAAGATCAAGGACAAAGTTTCAGTGGAGAGGTTTCCCCAGTTGGCCATTTTTAGAAGTACAAGTGAACTTAAGCTGATAGACCACTGCCCCCCCAAAAAATGTGCACGTCAGTTAATAAGTGGTAGAACTATGATTCTGAAGCCTGTCTATCTCCAAAGTCCTGCCTTTAACCCTAGCACTACCCTGCCTCTCTTCTTAGGGTGTGCTGTCAATGAGCTCATCCAGATGGGGCAGCAGGAGGTGGAGGGCAAACAGAAAGTCCATAAATATATAGAAGTCAGAAAAATTCATCTCCTATTAAGAACAAGGATTCCCTTGTACAAGATTTCTGAGGACAGGAGAGCGGCTGGAATCGGGGGATCCGTCTAAATGTTAGTAAGCAGCATATATGAACTTGGTCTAGAGAGGGAAGTTAAAATACCAGCCTTCATTTTTTTTAAGATGGTCTAGACGCGGATCCTGGCTTCCAGAGGCTTATCTTAAGCCCTAGTTCTCACACTCTGCCCTGCAAATGAGACAGAGGTCCTGGACTGTTGAAAAACTAGGTAACGAGTAGTCTCTTCACACAGCAGAAGGGGAAAAAAAATCATAGATGGAACTTTCTCAATTTTAAGTTTTCTCCCATAAACTGTTTTTAAACTTTTGGCAGTTGCTACTGCTTATCTACTAGCAAATTCTGTTGAGGAGGGTGAGGATAAATAAGTAGCAAGCAAAGATTTCAAAGAAATGCAAGACCTTAGCTATGTAGGTTTAGTTTCACAGATCCTGACTTTCTGTCTCATAAGTACAGTATGACCATATCTGCAGCTGGTGAAATTGTTCTTATCACGGGGTAAAATCCTTTCCCTGTCAAAGAGCTTCGTGGCCTGCATGTCCTTCATCACAGGAACAGATGTGAAGACCACTCCATCCAAGAATCATACTCACTGCATCTCTTGTTCTTTATAAATTCAGCTGCCACTGCACCCAAACGATTCCTCTGGCTTTGTCTTTTCCTCTCAAGCACTGAGTAAACAAAGGGCACAAATTCCAAGAGATATTTGAAGTCACTATGAGAGATAAAGTTTCTGTACAGGTAGAGAATTGTGGAAGGGTCAAAACGTCATTTGGTCTAGCTTTTGACTTGAGACACAGGCGAAGCATGGGGTTATTTGACTTATTTTTAAAATTCCAAGTATGCTGTTTTTTTTTAAGTGTTTATATAACACACGTTCTTTATAGGTATACTATATTCTAATATATTTTTTTAGTAATTGAAGTTTCTTACATTCTTCTTTCCCCAAATTTATTTTCTTTCTCAAAATGACTAAATTATATTGCCAGAATCATTGTCGTAATACCTTCTAAATATTTGTTGTCATTATGATTAGTTTTGATGCTCAGGAGGAAAATACCATAACGTGTTCATTTTCTTGAGCCATACTTAATAAATTATATTAATTACAATAATTAAAAATGTTCATTTTGGGGCTTCCCTGGTGGCACAGTGGTTGAGAGTCCACCTGCTGATGCAGGGGACACGGGTTTGTGCCCCGGTCCGGGAAGATCCCACATGCCGCGGAGCGGCTGGGCCCGTGGGCCATGGCCGCTGAGCCTGCGCGTCCGGAGCCTGTGCTCTGCAACGGGAGAGGCCACAACAGTGAGAGGCCCACGTACCACAAAAAAAAAACAAAAAAAAAAAGTTCATTTTGCTACACTGTTGATTTTAATTTTGCTATGTTATCAATTTCAATGCATCTCACCTTTCACCATCCCAAGTCCCTTCCAAGGAGCCACATGCAAAAAACTCTTCCGAGCAGTGAGGTACCATGAAGATCATGGGTATGACCTTCCCCAGAAGTAAAGTAACTTCCCCGAGATCACAGACCTGCTTCAGTGGCAGGGCTCCACTACTCAGTGAGCTTGGCCAGGACAGTTCTATAACTTCTCTGCACTTCGGATTCCCTACCTGCGAAAGAGGCATAACAGTGCTAACTTGCAGGGTTATTGTAAAAAGTAGCGATAAGGTATGCAACGTGATTAGCACGCTATCTGGAATATAGTTGGCTGTCTCGAAATGGCTGTTGTCATTTTCATTGGTGAGCAGACCAGCAGGAGAGATGAAGGTTCTTTGTTGCTCCTTCGATTACTTCTCTGGGCCTCTCCAGATTCCTTCCCCTTTCTTTATCATCCAGCCCTTGTTTCCTTGCGTGCTCACCCCACCCCAGAGAACGCCCAGGCTCCTCACAGGAGGGCCCACATACCCCTGGAGAATGTCAACATGTGCCAGGGTGTGTGCAAAAACCCCAGAATGAACACGACCCCTCACTCTGACCCCTCATCTCTTTTACTCGGGAGAAAATCCATTGTTAGATCATTGTGTAGAGGGCAAAATTCACATAAAGTTTTAAGATAAAGCATAAGAATTCACTAGTCCAAGTTTGTGCATCTTTGCAGTTTGGGATACTTCAGAGGAAAAAACATGTAGAAACCCCACAGCTGCTGTGTACTGAGCATTTTCTCTGAACAGGGCACTCTATTAATTATGCAGATATACATTATCTCATTTAATCCTAACCATGACCCTTTTGGAGATGAAGAAGTGATCAGAGAGGTTAAGTAATTTGTGTGAGGTCACATCGCAGAGAACAGGGTTTAAACACCGGAGTCTACACTCTTATTAAACACTGCTTTATCCTGTCTTCTCTGATGATGTTCTTGGAAGATAAATTTTCATCTCAAAGTGGCCCCTCTGAATGCTGCTTCAGTTAAAGGAAATACTCCCTAATGGTACAATTGTAGACAGTGAGAATGGTTTGGAGGCACTGGTGCCTTTAAATTACACTTCCTGCCCTGGAGCCAGGTCTGCATGGTGTGCATTCATTTCCTCATTCAGCAAATATCTGTAAAGTTCCCACTGCAGTGGGCACTATGACAGGCAGGAAGGATTCAGGGAGTGGTTGGACCAGAAGAGAGAAAGAGAAGCCATGAAACATGATTACCATCATAATCTGTTTCCCATTCAATCCTCAGATTAACCCTGTGAGAGAGTTCCTATCATTGCACCCATTTTGTAGATAAGAAAACTGAGGAATCAAGAAGGCAGATGTTACGTCAAAGCTCATTCAGGAAGGAATTGATCCTAGACAATTATGATGCTACCGCTCAGGCTCTTGGCCATTCTTTCATCTCTCCAAACTGCGTGATTAGGTTCCTCAGCCCTTTCTTTTTACACAATTTTTCAAAATCTTTCTGGTGTACAATCAGATGGGTATGAGTATGATCTGTGGTCGTCCTGTAATAATCATGCAGACCTTGTCACATTTGCCAACAGAGCTAAAAACTTTGCTATCATTGCCTGCAATGCTGTCATTAACGGTGCTAAAAATGCTAGCAGGTCTTCTGTACTGGGTTACAAGGGAATAGTAGAACTTCAAAATAAACATTAACAGGATGGAAAATGTTGAGTTCCCTTGCTTGTAGTTTTTGGCTTATTTATCTTCATTTTATGGGAACAGGCCTGTCAACTCTAAATGCATCTGGCTCTAGCAGAGGAAAAGAAAGGAAAAGCAGGAAGTCCATTTTTGGCAACAATCCGGGCAGAATGAGCCCCGGGGAGACAGCATCACTTAACAAAACATCTGGAAAAAGTAAAGTCACCTTCTAACAGTATCTTTGCTTGAATCTGCATGATGGAGGATTCCAGTATTTCACTAAGCACTTCACTGGAATGTTTTAAATCTTTTTTTATTTTCATGAATGTTCATGTTATCTAAGTGTGGTATAAATATTTTTTAAATTACAAAATTACCCTCTTAACTTCCAAAAAAATAGCATTTCACTGAAGGTGTTCTAACACTGTTTGCCTCAAAAATAAAAATTGGAGCCACCTTGGAACCTTCTAGTGGTTCTTGGAACTGCACTCTTCACCATTATAACTCCAGAAGATAGATCCATTTTATCTCTAATTACTTTTTATTGTCAAAGTAATAAATTCTCATAGTTAAAAAACTCAAACAGTACAGAGTATCATTAAAGTTTCTTTCCACTCACAATGTCCCAGTTCTATTCCCCAGAGGTAACCACTGTTAAGTTTATTGTGTTTAGTTCAAGAAAAATAAGATCCTTTTTAAGATAATCCAAATGGGATATAACTGAACATAACTTGTATAACTTTTATACTTGCTATAACTTTCCACATAGCTTTCTGTACATATAATCTACCTTCTCCTTATTGCCCCTGTGGTATTCCAGTGTGTGGATATGCATTTATTTAATCACTTCCTCACTGGTGGAACTTTTGGGTTGCTTCCCGGGTTTTTTGTTGCTTTTTTTTTTTTCTTGCTATAAAAAACACTGCTAGATTGAACACCCTTGTACATATACTGTTGTGTATTTATGCAAATATATCCACAGGACAGATGAGGTACTGAGGCAAAGGACTTTCAGGCTTTTAATTTAAAATGGTGTTGCGGCACTCATTTTAGCTATCCCTTTTTGGGGGAAGGTCTAGTTGGCTTTATTATTTATTGACCCTTGAATGGGTAGCATCCCATCTAACAAGTAGAAAGGCATACCCTCGATAGCTATCATTTCGTCTCAAGGTGGTGGACTCACTCACAAGTAACACTCAAGATGTATTCTGATGTGTGATGTGTTGTGATTGTTTCCTGGGGTGTTGTTCCTGGGGTGTTTCTCTTGCTAAAATATTTAAAGTTTTCTGCACTAATCTGAGGCTAATCTTTGGGGGGTTTAGGTTCCTGTGAAGGAATGCGACAGGCCTGGGAGGACTCGCCTTCCTCTGTCAACCCAGCCACGTCCCTCAGCTCTATCATTAGAACTCCCAAATGCTACCACATCTCCTCGCTGAATGAAAATGCCGCCAAACGTCTGTGTCGCAGGTATTCTCAGAAACTGATCCAGCACACTGCCTGCCAGCTGCTGAGGACGTATCCGGCTGCCACCCGCATCGACTCATCCAACCCCAGCCCCCTCCTCTTCTGGCTCCATGGGATACAGCTCGTGGCGCTCAACTACCAGACAGATGGTAATGGGCCTGCTTCACCCGGAGGGGTGCCCCCTCCCCTCGCTCCTTTGCGTCTTATATCTCAACAAACGTAGTTCAACAAAAAACATGTTTCAAAGGGGGCAAGACTCCCAACTGAGGCCTATGTGAGGGTAAAAATACAGGTGACAGAGAACAGAAGTGAATTCGATACTGAACTGTGCTCTTGACTTTCCAGAGTTAAGGCAATAGAAAAGAACCTTCAAGGAGCCCCTATTAGTCTCCTGGTTCTGTCCCCTTTTTAAAGCACTTTTCAAACGTAAGACTGTTCTTGACAGGGCTGTGTCCAGTTTGTTTTTAAAGACCTGATGGGGTAGAGATTTCCTAACACCCCTTAATAACTGTCTTGCTAATCTCTTGTTCTTGCAGTGAAAAAGTAGGGTCTCTCGAAACCCTTTGCAAGTTAATTCCATTTTAGCTTCCCCTCATCCCTTTGAGATTGAAATGGAGATTAATGATCAGTGCTGTAAGAGCAGCTGACACAAAGGAAACAAGTCTGTGAATTACATGAACGGAGAAAGTAGTGTTCCTGCTTCTCCACTGTCCTGAGATAACGGATGAGGCCAAAAACTCCAGAGTACAAGCTACCTTTTATTGCATGTTCACTGTGCACCAGGCACCATCTCAGTTCTTGACCCCTATTTTCTCATTTAATCTTTGAAACATCTCTAAGAAGTGGGTGCCTTTATGATCCCCATTTTACAGATGAGCAAATCAAGACGTAGAGCAATTAAGTGGCTCAAAATCACAGTATGACTTATAATAGTAAATTCAAGCACTCTGGGAGTTTAGAGAATAAAGTGTTTTGGTTCCATCCTAACCAACTGTGCTGGCCCATCGACCATAGCTTAGCCCTGTCTGCAGCCAAGGTCAAACCACAGTTGTAGCTCTGGGACCAGCTAGCCGCCTGGCACTGGCACCACCAGCACCCATTTGTGGCTCACCCTGGTTAGAGACATCAGTCATATTTTCTTGCCTTTGTTATATTTGCTTCTTTCAGTTGAAATCGAGTAAGATAATGCAGGTGAAATACCATACTTAGCATAGTGCCTGGAGCACAGACAGCATTCCACAAACGTTAGCTACCATTAAGTGCTTTTGATAAGTTATGAAAACAGTCTGATTTGGACTTGCAAGTGGAAATAATAGTGAAATATTTTAAAAGCTGTAAAAATTTATTTTCAATCTGTCCCAAGTGGCTTGTGGGTTTATATCTCTGGCCCTGTCTATAGCCCCAAGTCCACTGTTGCCCTTGATGGAGATGATACTGAAATATTTTAAGTGAACTGAAATAACTAGCAAAATGGTTTTCTCAAGGAAATGGAAATGCACTTGGTTTGGGACGTGTCCTTTCTCCTGAAGTGCCTAGGCTGGCGCAGACACACTGGCTCCACTGATGGCAGAGGGAGCCACAGCTGAAGGGGACATGGGTATTGCCCCTCCTTGGGCCTCTCTGTGGTCTGGAAGCACACACTGGGGCTGCACCTTGGCCTCCACTCATCCCTGAAGGCTCTGTCTCTTTCCCAAATCAAGCCGGAGTGCATGTTCCCTTTGCCCCGCTCGGGGTGGGGCAGGAGGCTGTGTTGTGTGATTCATCCTCAGATTTCTCTACATAATCTTCCAACTCAGGTGGGAGTGCTGCCATATAACCTCTCTTGATTCTAGGCAGCAAGCAATGATTAAAAATCTCCCACGCTGGGCAAAGCTCACGCTACATGCAGTTTCAGTGTGTTCATCTGTAAAAATGGTCTTCATTCCTGCACACTGGGGTAGAGCCTGGTCAATCCCTTGCACACAGTAGACGCTCAATAAATGCATGTTGCACTGAGCTAACAGATTGTCTCAATGAGCCCCACTGCAGTCTGAACCTGTAGTTCTTGATTTTGAGTCCAGATCTCTTCTAGGTATTGCTATGTGAATTTCAAGTGCAAATAGACAGAGAAGGGTCAGCGTTGGAATCACTATTTTTTAATTTTTGAAAAAGAATTCCTGGGTTAAGGAGTTCTTGGTTTTCCATGAAGCATGCCAGCCAAATAACAAAGAACCCGCTCCCAGTGCCCCTCTAGCCTCCAGATATGTTCCATAGGTCATCTGCCTTATACTTCCTGAATTTCAGGGGACCCCAGTGCCCCAAAGTGGTGTCCATGGACTTAGGGTCATCTCTTCCCAAGATCTCTAATGACTCCATCAACTCCAAGAAGGTCTTCAGTGATCTGGAACCAGAAATAGCTCGGGTCTACACTCATTAAAACCGACTCTTGAGTTTAGAAACTGACTTGAGTCTAGTATGCAGACCCTGGTTATTGCAGGCAGTAGCCCCTCAAAGTTCTTTCCATCTGGGGCAGAATGATTCCTGCCTCATGTCCCAGGACCTACAAGTATGTAGAAATGCAGCCCCACTCCAAAGAAAAACTTCTAATAATATTTATTCTGCTTTCCTGAATGATTGTCACACAGTCTTTCTGATGACTTTTCCAGCCTCAAAATATAGGGATAATGATTATGAGAATGGTTTCCACTTAATACAGGTTTTTAAATGAATAGAAAGACATAAAGGTAAGGATTTGCTTGATCTGCCATCCCATGCACTGACTGAGAGGGGTGATGGGATTACATAGATCTATGCACATTCTTTCACTTGGTTAAAACAGAGGTTTTAAAACTATAGCCCTAGATGAAGTTCTGGGACCACCTACAGGGGACAGTAGGAGGGCGAGATTTAAGGTCCCACCTTTACTCCAAACAGCAGCTCCATGTGGTTCTGTGTTACATAGCAAATCATCAAAAGAGATTTTAGTTAAGCAAAAGTGCTTTGAAGTTTTGGAAAGCTACAAAGACAGACACAGTGCTAATGAAATCAGACTTCAAACCCAAATGAGTGTTGACATCATAATCATAATTTAATACCTAACTGTTTATCGAGCACCTTCTATGTGCCAAATGCTGGGGTAGGGATTTTTGCACAGGACCTCACTTATCTTTATGACACCCCTGTGAGATGTACATTAAATGGCTCGGTAGTTAAGATTAGGAACTGTGGGTCAGGCTGTCTGGGTTCGAACCTTAACATTTACCTCTTACTGGCTATGTGCCATGGGCTTTTTCACTTCTTGTGCCTCGGTTTCTTCATCTATAAAAATGAGAATACTAAAAGAATCTACCTCATGTGTTATTGGGAGGCACTAATACACACAAGTTCTTAGAATGGGGCTTGATACATAGTAAGAGTGCAGTAAGTGTGAGCTGCTGTCATTTTTTTTAGCAATGTACTGTGTATCCATTTCTTACTTACCAACTCTTCCTGAGCTACTTTGCTTCACTCTTTGAACCATCCTTCGCCCACATCTATGTTCCTCTGTCACAGAGCAGCCTGGGAAGAGAATTTTCTCCCACTGCAGGCAAGACAATTGGCCTCAATGAATCAGTCATATTGGGGCTGGAAGGGGTCTGAGAGGTGGGGTCCAATGCACTAATTTTGTAGATAAGGAGACGGAGGCCCAAGGAGCTTTGATATGTGTCTAAGACATCTGACCCTAGAAACTCGTGCACACAATCCCAGCCAACCCCACGTATGGGGAAGAATTTCACACACGAGATGAGGAGAGGCCAACTTCTCATTGTTCTGTGGTGCTCATTTAGCACACTTTTCCTTGATGTTGGTCCACGTATCAGAGTTCATTCTGCACATGGAAGGAATCTATCAGAGGGAACATTTGTCAGGTGTGTCTCATAAACGTTTTGCTCATTTGGAATGTAACTTTTCTACAGACTTGTGCCATCAGATGAGCATTTGAGTGTGTAAGAGCCCAAAATCCGTGCAGGGATCCAACCGTTCATCAAACAACTCTGCCAAATAAAATTTGGCCACAGAAGACTGGAAGCTGTTGTGAGGGTTCCCAGAGTATACTATGGAGGGGACTGTGGACATAATGTGAATCACATGTGATAATGATTTTTCTTTCATATTTAACTACAGCTTAAAAATAGAGGTAGAAACACTACGATTTATGAGTTGAAATTGAAATTTCAAGAAAAAGATATGTTTCTCTGGCTCTTCTCCTGATCTTTCCTGGATTCTTAAGATTTTATCTTACATTTGAAAAAGCAAGAATTGGTCTTACAATTGTCTTCATGGTTTGGTGTTTAGGGATAAGAAAATGCCACTATGCCTTTCTAAAATTCAGTATAAAATGAGGTATTTCAAAGATTATTTTTTGGAAGGATGTTGTAAATTTTAATTTGCAAAAGGAGTTTTTAAGTGGCAGGAGTTTTTAAGTGGCTCCTGGGTTGGAGTGGGAACATGGGGCATATCCCATAGACAGTGAGCTCTGTGAAGATGGGGATTTTGTGTCTTATTTCCTGCTGTATCTCTGGTGCCTAACACGAGTTGGCACATAGTAGGCACTCAGTCTATGGAGTGAGTGGTTGGTTCTCTCTTCTTCCTGCTTAAGCTTAGGGAAAATCGAAAAAGTCAATTTGTAAGATGACACTTTAGTGACAAGGTAACAAGTGATGTTGACTGTTTTGCAGATCTCCCTTTACATTTAAATGCTGCCATGTTTGAGGCCAACGGTGGCTGTGGTTATGTTCTGAAACCCCCAGTTCTGTGGGACAAGAACTGTCCCATGTATCAGAAGTTTTCTCCCTTGGAAAGAGACCTGGACAACATGGAGCCTGCCGTCTATTCTTTAACTGTAAGTCTGGCCCTGATGGTCCCAATAGAATATAGGAAGGTGTTTAAGCCCTTCCTGTATTCCTTTTTTTATATATAAATTTATTTATTTATTTATTTATTTATGGCTGCATTGGGTTTTCGTTCCTGCACGGGGGCTTTCTCTAGTTGCAGCGAGCGGGGGCTTCTCTTCGTTGCGGTGCGCAGGCTTCTCATTGTGGTGGCTTCTCTTGTTGCGGAGCACAGGCTCTAGGCTCATGGGCTTCAGTAGTTGCAAGATGCGGGCTCAGTAGTTGTGGCTCATGGGCTCTAGAGCGCAGGCTCAGTAGTTGTGGCGCACGGGTTTAGTTGCTCCGCGACATGTGGGATCTTCCTGGACCAGGGCTTGAACCCGTGTCCCCTGCACTGGCAGGCGGATCCTTAACCACTGCGCCACCAGGGAAGCCCGCCCTTCCTATATTCTATTGGGATTCTAAGGTGTAATGCCTTTTGAACTCAAGGCGTTACAAAACTCTCATGTCACAATTTCGTTGGTGCAGATTTAGTTCCCAAAAGAATTTCTTTACTTCTCAGAAAGCAGCAGCTGAGGTTTAGGTATGCAGTCACCAGGCGCTGTATTCTCTAGAGCCCAGTAGGTGGAGTTATGAGCTCCCTGCTACCACCTCCATACTGATGATGGTAATTCTGTCTTCCAGGGCCCTCAGAATCATAACTCTCATTGCATCCCATAAAAGCTGAGCTCTTTCTTAGAGCAGGTCATCTTAAACTCTAACAAGCTCTTATAAAAGGTAAAACAGGCATCAATATACAAATCAATTAAATATCTTTCCTCCTTACAGTTTAACCTTTGTCATTCCTGGCCTTTCCTTATTCCTTTTATTGCCTAATTAACTAACTGTCAAAACTCCACAGACTGCCCTTAACATCAGAGTCCTGGTAGCTCATTACTCATTTTTATTTCCAGCTTCTCTCACTCCCTCTTAGCTGAGGAAAAAAAAAAAAACACTGAATGGGTGATAGAAAAGACAGGGGGCGATGAAGTTATCCCTCCATCCATCTCTAGATCTTGTCTGTTTCCCTCCAAAGGAGGAATGCCAAGCAGCCTCTGCACACAACACCTCAAAACCCTGGGAGATCCCAACTCAGAGATTTTCCTACCACCAAACTGCTTTTTTCTCTTTCCCTAAGACAGTAGAGCAG